ACCATTTCCTCCAGTTTCCATGGAGCAGCGGGAAACTGTTCGGCGAGATATACGGTGGATGCGGACGGCTTCACCCATTGTCCCGTATACCGCAAGCCCGTTAATCCATCTGTCGCGACTTCGAAAACATGCAGAATAGCTGCAATTCCTCCTGCCAACATCCAGAATAGCTGCAATTCCTCCTGTCCCCCCATAAAAGTATACACTGTGTTGTGTCATGGCTCTGTCCTGAAACAACAAGCAAAGACGTTGCGGACTTGGTCACACCTGCTCCACTACATGTAGGTAAACTATCCGTCTGCACTAAACTGAAAACGAAACTCCCGTATTATGCATCTTTTCACACTCTTGTTGATAAAGAAGGATTTGAGGCAGTAAACGGTGTGTCTGTCTTGCCCGAGGACAGTATTTTCAGGTAGTTTTCTGCTTTCTCAATTACGCCGTTTCGGAAACGCAGATAGGGACGTTTGTTTCGGGCACTGTGGGGGGGCGGAATCGAATCTTAGCCTCATGACAGATTCTTGTTGCCCGCAGAAGTAAATCAACGCGCAAATATCCGTTCGGTGAAATGTAAAGCGTACAGTTTTATTACAATTTTAGAGCGCAGCTCTTAGGCACCCGCTCCCGGGTTTCGCGGAGTTGGCGTCGCCGTCAGCGTAAATGCGCTAAATTTAGCGGGAAAATTGACGTCATGTGAACCTCAACACTAATTCAATTGCGCGCTAAATTTAGCGGGGAAAATGACGTCACATTATTTGATGTCACGTCACCTATGAAAAAATTCAATTTCTCCGCTAGTTTTATTAGGAAAATTGACGTCACGTGACCTCAACAGCAATTCTATTCCCCGCTAAATTTAGCGGGGAATTGAACCTATGAACGAATTCAGTTGCTCAGCTAAATTTAGCTGGAAAATTGACGTAATGTGACCTCAACAGCATTTCAATTTCCCGCTAAATTTAGCGGCGAATCAATTGCTGTTGAGATAACGGGGCGTTAATTTTTCAGATAAATTTAGCGGGGAAACTGTGGGAGGGATGGAGGGTACGGAGGAGGGGGATGGGAGGGTACGCACATGTGGAGGGGAGGGTATGGAGGAAGAGGAGGGACATAACCTCCCTCCGTACTCTCCCTCCTCCTCCTCAAGAGCTGGGCTCAATTTCGCGTTACAGAAAAGTTTGTAAACGTCTTTCATTTTTTTATACCAGTTCCGATTCATGTTTCAAATAATATAATGTTTTCCGAAACACGGTACCAAAGTGAAGAGGATGCTTTTATCTGATTACAATTATTTTTTATTAAACCGGAATTGTAAACGAGGGGCCGGGGTTTACATTTATCTGAAAGAAGATGTTCGGTGCGAAATACTTGACGAATTTAATGAAACTACAGATTACTATAAAATTGTGAGCCTGAAACATGGGCGTCAGCTGCTATCGGTAATGTATTGCCTTCCAGACGACAATTTTAACAATTGCTTAACTTTTCTTGAGATATATTTAGATTTTGTTGGTGTGAATAACTGTATGCTTTTTCTTGACGGTGATTTAAACGTAAATATTTGAAAGAACTCGTCTTTTTCGTCGCGACTTATAATGACACTCTTAGTGGCGAGTTTTTCAATGTCATTTTGTCTCCTACTTGAATCATCCATACTACATCAACTTCTACTGATGCTTTCATTGCGAATATAAACACTGCTGTTGGCAGTGCGGGTACGATAAGTAGTGACATAATTAAGCGACCATTTACCTATATTTTTATGTTTTAAAACTCTCTAACTATCCAGCAGCTCTAGTAAACATTTCACTTTTCAATCTGTGACAGGCCGCTAACTGTGATGTTTTCAAAATACAGTCATGGAATCTGACGGAGCACTGTATTTTTGAAGCACTGCGTGAACAGCACATATGACGAGTTTATTGGTACGTTTAAGTTTATATATGTTGCGTCTTTACCGTATAAGACAGTTACGGTTAAAAACCGAATAAGGAAGGCTGGGGTTACCCCAAATATTTTATCAAAGATACGAGAAAAAAGTCGCTTGTATCCCACTTATCTGTCGTCAAGAGATGACCGTGACATTACTGCGTTCAAGAAATATCGTAATCAACTTACATCTACACTTAAAAAAAAATGGAAATCAGATTGTCACAAACGTCTTTTTTATGACACGCACAAAAAGCGTCACACCTTTGTATGGTAGTTCCTTAACGATGTTGTTCAAAGCAGCAATTAAAAGAAATCAATAGGTACGCTTTCAGTACTTAGTGAAAGAGTGTCGGGAATACAGTTAACATAGTTGTGAGTGGCGCTGTTTTCTGTCCTGTTGTTCTTCTTTCTACTTTGTGCAATAAATACCTCGATATGTTAGACTACCAACTAGCCCAAATGTCAACTTTAATACCGCTATCCGAGTATTTTAACCGCCACTTCACCCAACTTACCTTCTAGCGCTCACAATCAGTGTGGTTCCTTGTTTATCTCGAGTCGAGTAGACAAATCAGTTTTTTTTTTTGCCCAGAAGTGTTTCGCGCATTTATGGGGCTAATTAATAGAAGAAGTCACGACATTGATGGCATACAAATAAAGCCCGCTACATTTGTGATTGATATAATTGCCCCAGTGTTAGTATACATACTTAAGTTGGCCTTGTCAACTGGAAAGTTCTCAAATACCATGAAATTTGCAAACTTTTCTGTTTTGCACAAAAGAGGGGATAAAAATGTCGTTACAAATTATAGACCACTATCTGTCATTACCAATATTTTCTAAAGGGCTAAAAAAATTATTTTGCGTCGTTTAGATGACTTTGTTTTATTAAACGTTCAGTGTTAACTGACTTTCACTTTGGCTTCTGCAAGGAAAAGCCCGCAAAATGTGCTTAGTTATCTCATAATGAACTAATATTAAGAAATATAGAGCAAAGAGAGTTGACACTTGGACTTTTTATTGACTTTAGCAAAGCTTTCGATTCTCTTAACCATATAACGCTCACTGATTAACTTTCCTATTATGGAGTACGGGGCACGTCTTTAGGACTTATTCATTCATACCTAGAACATTGCAAGCAGTGTGTTTTAATAAATGGTTTTATTTCTTCGTTGCAACTTTTGAAGTCGTGTGTTCCACAGGGCAGTATACTTGGCCCATTTTTGTTCAATGTGTATATTAATGACATCGTCAACATCTGTCAACACGCACGTTTCATAATGTATGCAGATGATTCTAGAATATTCATTACTGTGACGAATATTGATGAACTGATAATTAAAGATATAGCTGTCTTTGAGAAGTTTCTTATATGGTCATAACAAAATGGCATTTATGTAAATACTGCTAAAACAAAAGCGATTGTATTTAGCCCAGCAAATAAAGATATTGACACTGATTATTCGCTTAAAATTGGTAGCAGCCAGACTGAAATAGTGAAAAATCATAAAACGCTAGGCGTCATTTTTTTTTTTCAATGTTTATGCAATGGAATCAACACCATAGAGTTCCTAACTCATAAACTCAAATGTGGCTGGCAGTACTGTTCAATGTCGCTCTCTTCTGCCTAAAAAGTTGAGATTCAAATTTATCATGCTCGTTTGGCTCATAAATGGACTACTGCCATTTAGTCTGGGGCACAACGAAAAAAAAATGCTTCGTTTTATGGCAAATGTTCCATGCAACACACATACCAAACCACTATTTTTGAACTACAACGTTTTGAAAATTTTCAGTGTTTATGCCTATCGTGTGTTATTTTCTTACGCCTTTTCAAATTTGGAGTGCATTGCTTTCTTGGTGGATCTAGCAAACCTGATTAAACGTGAATCAGTCATCAATGTTAGTCACAGAGAATTCTGGAACGTTCCTCATTTTCGTACAAATTATACACTGCATCTCTAGCTCATAACCTACCTACACTGTTTAACAGTATTTGTATGAACCGCATTTGTATTCACGTAAAACTAAAAATACTGTGCGCCTTTTTTTTTATTCTGTTTAGGTAAATATAATTCTTTTTGCGGCAATTTTATACGAATGTTTTCAGTTGTTTTGATAGGAGTTTGTATGAAATGTGTTGGGACTTGTTTTGTATAAATTTTAGAAATGTATAAATAGGATAGTTTTTAAATCATGCATTCCCTGAACATGCCAGGGCACAGGACAGAGTCAAGCTAGCTTTTGGTAGCCCTTTATCCGGTGTACTCGGCATAATGTTGCTGAAAATAAAGTTCAATTCAAGTTCAATTCAAATCCAAAGGTGCAAGCGAGTTGGTAAAAAATAATGGCAATAATCCCTGGAGAAGACGAACAAGAGGGAAAAAGGACGAACGCAAAACTCCAAGCACAGCTCTTGTTCCCCTTCTCCAGGGATTATTATCGCTATTGTCCAGCTCGCTTGCACCTTTGCATTAATTCCATTCCATTACGCACAAGCAGAATACTGCTTTTGTAGGCCAGCATTATTTATATGTATTTGTAAAGTGAATAAAAAAACATTATTATTATTATTAGTATTATTAATATTATCATGACCTTAAAATGCTGGCCGTTCACCCTTGTTGGGGTTAGACTGGTGGCAGCTGTTAAAATCCGTTTGTTCTACTGACGTCCAACTACTGGTTAGCTCAGTTAGTAGAGCGCTCCACTCGAAATGGAGAGGTCCCTGGTTCGATACCAGGACCAGGCGGATTTTTTCAGTCGCTCGCCAGTCACCTATCTCTGCTTGGAGTTTTGTGTTTGCCCCTTGTTCCCCTTTTACAGGGATTATTATCGTCGTCCATCTGTTTTCTTTGTTTTTCTTTGCTTTTGTTTTTACAAATTTATTCACATAAAAAGGTTAACGTGTTACTTTCTTAATTTATTGTCGATACTATCGGGAAATCAACGGTTCTGTTTTGTACACACATGTTTGACAGTTCGGTGTTATACTCGAAGACAGGGCTTCGTAGGATTGATATTCGATCTATGCACTCGATCACAAATAAGACAGGGATAAACGTGACGTCACTTCGAATTTTATTTCACAGAACAATTACTTGTCCCCAACAAGGTACGCAAACGAATGATCGAACGTATTTCACGCCACTTATAATAAATAACAGAAAGTACAGCCACCGAACTATTTACAAACGGCAACAACAAATACCATGAAAGGTGTGTAAAGGGGCTCATAAATAAATAAATAAATAAATAAATATATAAATGCATAAACTTTTTACGACGACATAACAGTTGAAGACTCGTCTAAGTAGAACTACAGTCACGCGAAGGCGGAACTGCATTACCACTGAGCAGACGATAACGAGAGTTGTGTGGCCACTTAATGAACCGTTACAGGCCTAGCTAAATGATTTTATTGATCCTAACGACTGCGTGAAGAAAATTTTATGGAGCACGGATAGTACTACAGAGATCATCGATAACTAGCACTGTCAATGAAACCAGTACTCCCTCTTCTACATGATGTGGAACAAGTCGAAGGAAGCATGCAAACGGACGTTCGATCACGGCGTCAGCTACTGTGCTAAGTACCAGATAGCGCCGTCGTCGTCGTTCAACGAGCGTTGGGAGAAAGGAAACAGAAACACACCGTAGCTACCTTTATGCAAAACGAGATTACGGCTTCACCCTGCCGCCTTCAATATCATTCAACGTTACTGCGTAGCCTACCTCTTCTGCAAGCAGCTCGCATACGCCATTTTTTTACAATTTCGCATACGTTGTGCGCTCAGAAAGCTCGCGTACCCTTCAGCTCGGGAAAAGCTGAAGGGTACTTTCGATCGCGTACCCTTCAGCTCGGGAAAAGCTGAAGGGTACTTTCGAACGATTCTAACACCGTTTCAACACGAAGCCTCGCGGCAACACCGAACGTGGCCCATTAACGAGACGATTGGGGGAAGTCGCACGTCGAGCGAGGGCCGTGACTAGAAGTTCGGTTCGTTTTGTTTTTGCTTGTATGTTCGTTCGTCCGTCGCGGGGACAGAAGGGTGGGAGCGCGGCGCTGGGAAGAAGGCGCCTATATCCTGAGCAGCTGGTCAGAGGACGGCCGCATCCGGGACACCATGTCGGGCGTCGGCATGCCGCTCAGCAGGTCTTCGAGGCCGCCGTCCTCTCCGGTCTGGTATTCGCCGCCCTGCTGCTGCTGCGGCTGCTGACTGTCTTCGAGGGACTCGAACGAGCGCTTGCGCTTGCCGCTGTTGAATATCACACCATAAAGTAAATACAGTGAAGTACGCCCAAAAAATAATTGAACTAAAGTACAAAGTAAGGGAGAGCTTATGTATGTCAAGTAAAGTAGTAAGTACTCCGGGCACAACGTACTTGAAGTAATGTACTATAAACACAATGTACTTTTAAAGTAAAGTACAATAACCTTTTAACAGTTTTTCATGATGCTCCTTTATTCCTCTATGCATAGAGTGACCAGACGTCCTGTTTTGGCCGGGGCAGTCCCGTTTTTGAGGTCCACTTCTGCCGTCCCGTCTTTTTATCCCAATATAGAATCATGTCCTGTTTTCGCACGAGTACATAGTTTCGAAATTGGCTCCAAGCGAGTAGAAGCAAACCGCAACTATGCCTATTCGTTACAAGTATATTTTACAAAAATAACGGTAGGTACTTTAAACTATTTACCCAGAGAGTAAAATTTAGAACTGCTCTTGCCCACAAGCGCCTTTTCCCTTGCGAAGGCGCGTGTGAGGAAATGTTTATATATATATATTAGTTTCTGGATATAACACGGATGTACAATCATGTAGATATAGCACGCATGTAGAATTTCATTAAATTTTTTCTCTCAATCTAAAACTTTAGTACCCCCCCCCCCCCCCCCACCCTTTTCCACTATGATGACCCGTTTTCTACCTTGAGGGATATGGTCACCAGACTATACAGTGTATTTTCTTTTAACTGGTGTGCATTGCTTTAGAAGTAATCGCGGGTGCATGAGTTATTTTTGGAAATGGTGGCGAATATGTGATAGTCAATCAGCCACAAAGTAGTTATTTTCGGAAATTTTGCCAAATTCAGAAGTCCTTCCGATTTCCGTCAGCCCCGTAGTTTCCGCAAGCAATACCCTCGTGGAGGAGTGTCCTCTCCTTAGAATTGTAACCCCCCACTCCGCTCCCCCCCCCCCCCCTCCGTACAAACGGAGCATCGCGTCGTCTGCTCGCGTTTCTGTTGAGACTAGGATATTCTTGGCGTGTTAAGGAGAACGTGCTGAGAAGGATATATGTATGAATAATAGGAAGAACTGTGTTTTATGTTCTTATTTTTTATATTTAGTAGAATATCCCTCCCAGTATTTCTTCAGTGTTGACAAAGCATCATATTGCGATGAAAATTTAGCAAGACCCAATTTGGAGAGTGCGTGCTTTAAAGTCGGAAGTAGTACTTTCCTCGGAAAGTACCAGAAAAATACTTTAAATAGCGTACATCCGCCGGCAATATAAAGGTGAACACCTTACCTGGTTTCTTATCTGTTTTACGGCTCCCTAGAGCTATATTAACTCTCAACTTCTCAAATCGTACGTGGCTTGGGGGTCTAAACTTTGCGTTCTAGACCTTTTCTGGAACAGAGCTTGTTCCAAAACTTGCAGGAGCGTCAAAAACAAGAAGAAGGCTGCCCACCTTCATATCGCTCATGAGTGTTCAAGTACACACTCGGAGAATGTATTTCAAATAAAGTACAAGTTTCCTAAACCTACTTAAAGTAGTACTTTAAGCGCAATGTACTAAAGTATCTCGCAACACTGAGTAAATATAATAATCTAGAGAAAAGGGTTTCGAAATGGCGGGGCATAGACGCGAACATCCTTGGTCTCAGTGGGTGGTTTATCGATGTTGCCATATCGCTGGCGACGCCAATTTACACATAGAAGCAACAAAACATCACCCGTAAATTATGTGCCTAGCTTTTTGTTTTCTTTATTTATTTATTTAGCTAACTTTACAAGAAAGAACTGGAATCGCACATTGCATAAAGCTAAATAAAGGTGACAAGCACTCGAACGACGTCAACTCGTCACGACAAAACGAACACGCTTTACCCATTGTCTGCTTTTTTGTCGCTCCCTTTCTCGTTCTTTCTCTCGGTGCCACCGAGGTCAGCGGCTACAATTTGCCGCGTTCTGCACCCGTATTTACACCCCTGTTTCACACCCCACAAAGGGATCTCGTATAGCAGTATTTTCAAAGAACATCCGTTGCGAGGGCGACGATATCGCCAATCTAGATTTCATGCGATGCGAGTTTGGCCACAACTTTAGATTATCTCAGCATCCCTAGCAAGGTCAAGAAAATATATTTAGGTAGTGATTTAATTTCTATTTGATTTATATAATGACAATGAAAATAATGCAAAGGTGCGATCGAGCTGGACAAGAATGATGATAATGATCCCCGGAGAAGAAGAACAAGGGGAACATACACAAAACTCCAAACATGGTGTTTGTCCTTCGTCCCCCTTGTTCCCCTTCTCCAGAGATTATTATTGCCATTCTTGTCCAACTCGCTTGCCACCTTTGCATTATTTGCGTTAGCATCATAACCTTAAAATGCAGGCCGTTTCTCCGTTGTTGGTGTTAGACTGGTAGCTGCTGATAAAACCCGTTTGCTCTACTGTCGTCTAACTCCTGCTTAGCTCAGTTGCTAGAGCGTTCCACTGGATAGGGAGGTCCCTGGTTTGACACCAGGACCAGGCGGGTTTTTTCGGTCGCGCACCGTCACCTAGCAGTGTTTGGAGTTTTGAGTTTGTCCTTTGGAGTTCTGAGTTTGTTTGTCCACCAGGCGGCGACGCCCAAACTCCTCGCTGTGAATATATTTGCGTACTGTTCCTTTCACCATTTTAATCTTTTCATGTGTGTTAATTTTTGTGCTGAAGTAAAACAAACAACAAAAATTTAGATAGGGCTGAACAAGTGCGAACAACAGTGCGCGGGCGAGCAATTTTAGAGCTTTGAAATTTTTACTGCTTTCCACTTTTTATGTTGTACTTACAAGGACGGTGCAACGATATTCGCTTGGAAAGTTTTCATTTTACACGAGCTTATTGGCACTAAAGGGACCCAAGTATACTCGCACATAACGCCACTGACCAAGAAACTTCTTTGTTGGGTTGTAATCGCAAAGACAAAAGCGAGCGTTTTTTTTTTTATTTCTCTCTTTCGCAAAGTTTGATGACGTAGCTGGAGGATCGCAGTATTTCCTAATGACGATATTTGAATGCGGCTCATAGATTGGACCCCACTATTACGTAAGCTACATCCACGCGGAAAGTGCCGTAGTGCGTGGATGTACCCAATCCCCCCTCGACTTGGCTATACATCCCGGTGCGTGGATTTAGACACTCCCTTATGTTTTCCCTTCGGTTCTTTCCAGCTTTTTGGTGCGGCCTGCTCGTATATTGGCCAAAAAAGATCAAACATCTACAAAAAAAAAAGTGTGGCGTGTTGTTTCATAAAAAAAGACTCTTAATTAAACTGCACTCTATGACAAAATTAAATTGAAGATAAGTTTGTTTTACACACTGGTTTAAGTGATTTAGAAAAAAAAAATCAACCTGTTGTGTCTAGACAGTCGCCTAGTAACAAACATCTTATTTTTAAATAAAGCGGTAGGTCTAGACTTACCTTTTTTTTTTTTTAAACCACCTGAGACTGGGTAGAGAACAAGAAGAATCCGAAGTGTAAGAGAAAAAAAAAGGGACAGAATGAAGACAAAATGAAAGAAGAAAGACAACAGAATGAAAACATAATTGAGATATCTCGTGTCACTCTGTTCCTTTTCTCTTCCACTTTGTATGCGTTGTGTACCCAGGCTTAGGTGGTTTATGAAAATGGTTGGTTCTTCAACTACCACGGATAACGACCGAATGTGCACAGTCACGAGAGCAAGCGTCTGCCTTCGAGGTGCGTCGAAGCTGACGCTGAAGATGAAGAAGCTAGCCAGTGCTAGCCTGGGGTCTTTAACGTGCATCCCGCAGTGGTGATACAAGATCGCACGTCGCTACGATGCCCATCCAGATCGAAACAGTCGCGAGGCTGAATAGGTTGGAATGGCTCGTAGCACGCACAGATCGTCAAGGTGGGACGTGGCGGAACTCACATTTTGTTGGGGTCGACGAGTCCGTAGGCAACTGGGAACGAGATACCCTTGAGCCGGTGCCGGAGGGACTTGAGCCCAGCAAGGGTCTCCAGTTCGGCCAGCCGCTGGTCGGAGATGCCGCTTCGCCGGCTGCGGCTGAAAGCGGAACAAGGCCCAGAGTTCAGTGACTCGCCTCCGCTGCGCTGGCATTCGGTCACCCAGAAGGTCTACCCGGGCCTGTGACGTCACAACGGAGCGCTAGCCACAGAGCAAACCCTTTTTAAAGCTCCACGAAGCAGTAGTGGCGGTCGCCATTTCTCGGGCACGAACTGTGGAACTGTATCCGAGTCCTCCCCGAACGCTGACGTCATATTCGTGTCCAATAGAGGCTCACAATTAACACGTACCCAAACAACGCTGCAGCTCCTCGATGGCGCGAAATTTTGAAATGGATCTATTGGCACGCCCACCTTGACAAACGTGCCCCGAAGTTTCTGTGGAGAATTGTTTACAGGTAACGAGGCGGCACAGTCATGCTTTCACTGGAGAAATGGTGCTAAGCATCGGTTGGTCTTTTTTCTGTGTGCTCGTGCAGCATGCTTTGGTGCTGTGTCGAGTTATGTTTTTTTTATGTCCCATGGTATTTGTACTGTATCTTCGCTTCGTACAAATATGAGAATTTTTTTCTACACTGAACTTAATTTGCAAGTTCCGGGTGATTGTGATATGAACAGTACATAGCGACCTGGTGGAGAAAAGTTTATTTGATTTAAATATGATTTATTTGATTTAAATTACTGTAGCTATAAAATGATGCTCTTTGCGCACTAGTTGTATTTTTAAACATGACAGATTGATCGATTAATTCGTCCGATCACCGAAAACATTGCGGAAGAAAGAAATGCTGTAATTTTAAAATACATTTTTATTAAAAATCTTTTTATCGGGTAAATCCCGCCACGGTACATCGAAAACATATTGGTATTTTAGTAGTTAGTGAGAAAGATTTATTTTTAATTTTCTTTAGCGTTTGGCTTTTCTAGCGACATTGCTTTTTAGTATTAGTTTCTTTTTTTCGCGCTTTTCTTTACTCGCTATAGGGCGTTACGCAACTAACCAACAAAGTGGATGGCAAGAAGAAGGCTCGACATTCTGATTTTCTCAGAAGACCACTGCATTCAAAACTCCAAGTTGTAACGGCGCGAATCAAAGCATGAATATATGGAACAGCGTACACATATGCAGGTCCGTGGTGCAGTCTGCATAAAAATTTAGAACATTTCGTCCTTTTTTTTTTTGTTTCTTGTTCGTCGGACTGTTGCTGCTCTCCTCTTCGAAGTCATGAGAAAAAACTGGCGGCAACATTTTCGAAATCGGCCCCTGCCTTGTACGAGCGCTGCCTGCGTTATCCGCTTTTATCAATTCAGCTCTCTGCGATATAAGATCGCTGACATGCCAGGCTTTCAGCATAAAAAAGGCCATCCAGGTGCCGTGGGACGAAGTCGCACTACTGATTTCCTACAACGGACACATTCCTGGCGCGTGCACACATTTGCTGTCCATGAAGCGAACCCGAGTAGGGTTTCTAAAGTGGGGTCATAGACAAGATTTCGAACTCAGACGGAATGGGTGATAAATCTGGAAGGGGATAGTATTAGTACCGTCTCTTTGTACCGAACTACTCGGGTAGCTGGTCACTTACAAATTCGTCCGCCACAGTTTCCGCTACTAAACGCCGCGAAAGTGTACAGCAGTTTGACGGACTAGTGGAAACAAATATCGTGAAAGAAATCGTCCCCAGGGGGTTCATGGTTGGTCACGTGGGCATCGGAGCGAGCAGGGTTCACGAGTCGTCGCATCGTAAACGCGCTTGGGCCATCGGTTCTGGAAGTGGCAGGCGCGCACAGCACGAACGCCTCGCCTCCCGTTTGCCCTTCTTCCCCATCGCGCGCACGCGACGCCATCTATAATCCACCCAGGCTGTTGGGCCAGTCATAAAGGCCCTGGCCAGCCATCAAAGATGTAAGGGGCACACACGACGCGAAGCTCGACGACACGCGGCTCTGGGGGGGGGGGGGGGGGGGGGGGGGGGGGGGGGGGGGGGACACTTCAAACGGGCCAGCAGCGCCAGCTGGCAGCGGCCCGGATAAATACCGTTTTAAGACACGCCACGAATTTTCACTTTCAGCCACGACTGCGGATAGGCCCCGTGCCTCGGAATTATAACTCTCCAGACGGAGAAGAGATAAAACAGCGGACATACGTACACACCGTAATGGGATAGATAGCCTTTTTAAATGCCTGCATAGACTGTTCGAGGTGTGTTTTCCTAGTCACATTGGTCACGAAAAGAACGATCCGCACGCATGTTCCAAGTATACGTATGTACCACCGCGATACATTCAAATACGAAGATGAAGCACCTGGCTTTCTGTACATGCTGCGCAGCCTATAGTGTGCGGTGTATGAGCGGAGGGACTGCGACTTAAACCTCGTGTCAAAGCCGCGTCTCCGTTTGTGTGGGCGAGCACTTCGGTACCCGGAACGCGTCTTCGACTCGTGTGTCTTATTCCGCCCTCACATGGAAAGCGGTCTCCAGGCAGCAACGAATGACGTCACAAAAGCTCGAGTGTCACGCTGTCGGATGTCGCGATCCTGGCGGTTGGTCGCGGAAGTTCTGGTAGAATGAACGAGGCAACGCGAGTGTCGTTGACGTCGCAGCTTTCCAGGCACCATAGTGCGACTGCATTCCTGCCCCAAGTGGCCTTGGCACGCACGATGCACGTGCTGACAACCAGGGCTGCCCGAACAGAGCACCGTGGGGGCCTCAGTCGGAGTCGCGCTTCGATCATAAAGCCGAGACTGGACCACCTAAAAATTAAATTAGGCTCTACACGCTGCCTAAGGTGAAGTATTCATGCCCTCGAGACTCGAAAACGAACAAAACGCGGACGTACACTACAGCTGCCATTTAGAGGAGAACTTCGCACGAAAGTAAAAACAGTCTGAACCTCGGTTCTTGAGGCAGTTGATAATACGCGCTAATCCGGTTAACTCGGGCGCCTGTGGTACAGAATCTCAACTTTAGAAAAACAGCTGAGGCAGTCCAATGAAAGCAGTGCCTCCCTTTCAAGCTCGGAACCGGAAAAAGTACATAACGTTGTTTTTTCTTTTGCTTTTTTTTTTTCATTTTACGCGCTTTCAGACGCCTTCAAATAGGTGTCTGCCGTCGACGGTTTCGTGAAAGGATGAAGGCTCCAGAGTGCTGACGTCCCAAATGACGTAACGAAGCAGCACCGGACTACATTATTTTTTTTTTCTTACTTTTTTTAATAGATTAGTTCAGTTACGGAACTTCCCATAGACAGTGCTTCCACGAGAAATAACCCCCTCCCCCTTTCTTCCCACGGCCCGTCTTTCGTCGTTCAGCGCGCCACCGTTTTGGGGTAATTGCAGGGTATATTCTGTAGAATACATATGTTTTGAAACACAGCGTCTAGACGGTGTTTCACCGTACTCCATGGAACACAGCCTTGAAACGATAATTTAGATGGCGCTTGAAACGCCGGGAGACGGGCTGAAAATGGGGGGGTTCTTCGCGGGAGTTGCACAATAGGTAAAGGGTTCAGGGGAAGCTCCTCTCCTTTTTTCACTTCAGCAGAGTAACGCTGGAGGTGAGGCGACCTCCTCTCCAGCGTTCGCTCTCCTAAATTTAAAAAGAGGAGCTTCCCTGTTTACAGTAACACCTACGAGGCAAAAAAGCCGAAGTGCTCTCTTGCGTCACCTGCAAAAGGCCACCGGGTACCGATTGGACCCGAGTGTCGCGTCAGCGTTCGGCTGCCACTCGTGTCCTATCAGTAACAGAGCTGGCCAAATTACTCATATTTTGTAATTAAATTACATTACTAATTACTTTGCTGAAAATTTCTGAAATGTAATTAAATTACATTACAAATTACCACAGCCAGAAAGTAATTAATTACCATTACAAATTACTTTTAAAAGTAATGACATTACTTTCGCATTACTTTTGTATACTTTTGAATATAAAGGAGCTATTGATAACTTCCTTTTACTGATAACTTTATTTACATTATTTACACAGTTCATGGCACACAGCTAGAACTCTCTGTTGCATGTTTACCGATGGACAGAGGAACGCACGCGACTGATCCGTTTCCCACCCCAACCCGGACAACTATTTTTGGAGATGACTGAGGGCCCTACGCGGATAATCTCTGGGAGGGGGAGAACACTTGTCATTGTTCACAAAATCGCGTCGAGGGCCGTTCCACCAGAGGCCTTAGTTCGACCTACTTCCGCTCCTTCGTTTCCCGTGAATGTCGAGCAGAAAAGCTCGAATGGAAGGCACTTACCAGCCCTATTTCTCACAGTGGAAGATAACACAGAGAGGGTACGCAGTATACATCAGAAAAAGTAAGCGGAAACTTTCAAGAGGGGCCAGAAAACGTCGAATGCAAAACCGCAAAACATAGGTAGAGAATCGCACTGAGCGGGTTTTGACATTCAAGAGAGTGGCAGAAAATGTCTAGCTGATAGCGGGCGCGAGAGTCGCACCAGCCGCATTAGCATAAGCAACATAGCGGCGGCCAAAGAGCGTTTTTTGGAAAGGTGTAGAGGAAGAAGAAAAAGTAAAATAAAAAGAAAAGCGCTCTTGTGTATTGTGGACACAAAAAAATATGCCTGGTGCGAAAAAGTAATTAGGTAATTTAATTACAATTACCGTCGCTGGAGTAATTCATTACATTACTAAATTACCCGCTACAAAAAGTAATGAATTACATTACTAATTACTGGAACAAGTAATTAAATTACTGTAATTTCATTACAGTAATTGCATTACTGCCAGCTCTGATCAGTGAGAACCCGAGTCCCAGCCGAACGATGACGTCACCGTCATGTCCAATCTGCACCTTACGGGGGCCTTTTTTGATGACGCAGGTAAATTCAGCACTAGGGCTTTCTTATGTAGAGGGTGTTAATAGTAACACTGGCACCAGGGACGTCAGATTGAGGGCCCACACAATAGACAACGCATAATCCACGCACTCGTCTTCGCTGACCGCAATACGTTGGCGCACTTTTTCTTGAATATCTTCATACGTTTAACCGTATGGCCCACCAGATGATCTTGGCATAGTTCCGCCGAGCGAGTTCGGAGCAAGTACAGAAGCGAATTGAAAGTGCGCGGTATAGAAAATCGGTATCCCACTCACTTGTAGAGGGACCTGCACTGGACGATGGCTGGCAGCAACACCACCGCGCAGAATATCACCAGGAACGCAAGCTTGGTCGACATGGCTTCTCTGTGCCGCCTGCAATGCGAACGCACCATTGGTTGGAAGCACGGAAGTCTCCTTTCTTATACCGCGCTCGAGGCAAGCTCCGCCCCGAAACACCCGCTCGCACTGCAACCCACACCCAACGCGGCTACGTCATGGACACGTCACGGGCACGTAGACCAATCACCGTTCAGCAACGATGATACCCAGGACACACCTGTCATTTATATCTGAGGACTAGGTGAGAGTCGTTGAGATTCGTGTGACCGAAGCTGAAATACGTGGTTCTCTCTCTCTCTCTCTCTCTTGGGTTCTCCCCCGTTTTCAAGAGGAGCTATGGGTGGTTTCGAAGACTGGTGGAGCTTGGCGACTGGTTCAAATCACAAACCTGCGGAGGTGTCTATCCTAATGAGGGAAGTGCAGGCGTCGTGTGGCAGTCTAGAAAGCCAGCTACGTCTGCCTTTGAGAGGCGTTCAATCGAGCTAATGTGTGCGCGGGTCTGCCTTGGATCTTTCGCCGTCAAGCTCTGGCTGCTTCGAAGACGTGCGAGCGGAGGTTGCGTTGATGGACGCCCGCTTCTGATTCCCGAAGGTTTCGATTTGCGGGGGCTTCATTCTGCACGATTATCGCAAACTCATTAGCCCGCGCAACTATGGGACTCCGAAACTAGGTGCTACGTCGTGTAGCCGCAGATTTATAACCCCCCTTTCCCGACAGGTGAGTCCGTACTGCGTATCGCGGGAATATTGGGGAAGGCGCTCGGGTGCGGTTTTTTTCGAATGAAGCTGAGAAGAGGCAGAACAGAAAGAGAAGAGTCAGACTCGTGGCACGCAGGTCTTGGGCAGTGGGAAGCTATCCGGCGTCTCCGGTGTACGTAAGCAGTTTGGCGAGCGCAGTCCGACCGCTAAGCCAGAGCCTGTGAGCGGCGTCGCGCACTGGTGATTGTGCACGACCGCAGGCCGGCAGGATGCGATGTTCACCGCAACCGGCAGAGGGTGCGGTTCCAGCCCAGACCGATGCGACCAGACTACGGATAAATCGTGCTACGATCAGCACATGCTCGCATAGAGCAGCCACTGACAGTTTAAGAATAACGGGGGTTATAATAATCACGCTTCTTGCTTCCTGATTTATTCTCCGGCATTCTCATTGGCGCAATTTCATTGGCTGTTGAGCGATAATGAGATGCTCGCCCCGCCCCGCGTTTCTTAGACTGTCTGTGAGACCGTTTTCGTCTGACGGTCGCCCTGCTGAAATGTGACAGGTTGGGCGACAAAAAATAAAGTAACTAGTTTAGGCGCAACTGCAATATAAAAGTATCACCAAGAAAAAAGTAGAACTATTGGCGCGACCCCCCTTGAATTCTAGCACCTTCAATTCAGCAAAAACAATGATTTGCTATTTTGACCCAACTCAGCTACGTCAGGATTCAACATAACTGCTACCACGAAAAAACGGTCATTGGACGCCATATTCGAGGGCAATGCTTAGAGCGCATGCTCAGAAAGAGCTCACATTTGTAGGCTGCTAAGACCGGCACTCTTGATGGTGCGGAATGCACGCTGCAAAAGAACTGTGGAAGCTCGCCTTCGGCACGCGCTCAGCAGTCGCGCAGACAGCTATGGCCTCCGGTGAGTACTCCCTACGGGGGAGAAAGAGCCCCCTTTGCACGAGCGGTTACGCAACCTCAACTTGATCCCATACCATGACCTCGCGCTCTCATAGTCCACGCTAATGTAAAAGGAACGAAGGTTTCTGTGACTTGACACAGCTCGCGTGATTAACGAATTTGGTGATCAACCGAATTCAAATCGAAGCTCGGTCAACTTGACGGCGTCGTTGGCTTAAGGTGGAACGTGCCAAGCTGGATTGCTGAAGTTTTTGCCAGTTTTATGTTTCGTTGAACCTGCGCCACGCATCATGTGGACACGCAGCGCTCGACGGTGCCTCTGCGTAGCGGCGCGCATGAAGTGACCCTGAACAAGTGTGAAACAAAAACAAAATGGTTGTGGAGCCACAGTAATAGGTCAGACGAACGTTATATATAGTGTATAGTCGGTCATATACACGAGCACAGTCGTACGCACCTCGTACTTGCAATAACACAAAAGGCGTGACACCGCTTCCGCCCTTTTGCTGTCCGCACGTTTTGCCGTTTCTGTTTTCCTTCTTTTTTACTTGTGTTACCGCTATGTGCGGTTTTCTTTTTTCTTTTCTTTTTTCGTGTGATTGTATACGTAGTACTCGTAAATAGACTCGTAAAAAATGAAGGCATATTTTATCTCGACTCATTTTTTTTACGGCAGGAAGTCTCTCGTAATTAATTGGAAACCTCCATAGTTTAACATGATTAAAACATAGAGTTAAAACCGGAGACGTCGGATACAAAGTGAGAGGACAACGACGGATGTTAATTAGAACACTTCGAAGCCCCTTATGAAAACAGCTCTAAGCTCCCTTTATGAAGATTCAAGGCCCTACTCCCAAAAAACAAAGAGGAAAAAAAAAATGGCACTCAAACCCGCCCTCGTGGAGCTGCGTCTACTCCATCCAACCTCCGCCGCGTAATGCTCCTGGAAGCCTAGACTAGGTACGCCAGGGGTGCGCAACCTTTCTAGGCCCCCGACCCCTCAAATACCCGAGTGCCGTCGGGTGACCGTTGGGTGACCCCCCGCTCCCCCCCCCCCCCCTCCCCCCCCCCCCCCCCCCCCTTCTCCCCCTTGATTGTACTGCCAACAATAACTTGGCTTCCTGAGGCCCCCTCGATGCCCACCTTGGGCATCTCTAGCCTGCACGACCCCGCTTTGAAGTTCTTCTTGCGCCCCTCCCTTCCTCGTCGGGGAAGCTGCCTTTTTTCTTACCGCCACTTCCAGAAGAAAACACAAACATAAAAAAAGTAATCACCCCCTAAAAAGAAAAAGAAGAAAATAAACTAGCACGGGAAATATTTTTGCAGGAAAGACGGTTTTTGAAAAAAAAAAAAAAGTGTGTCCGGTGTGAGCAGGTGCGAGTTAGCGACGGGCAACTCGTGTCTGCTCTTGCGTCATGTGGTCAACTACTCTCTCTCTCTCTCTCTCTCTCGTTCTCTTCTCTTAGTCGTCAGAGGAAGAATTTAGGCTTTGGGGATGATGAAACGAGACTCGCCGATTGCCCTACCGGCACCGTGAACATTTAGTTTTGATTGTTTGTTTGTTTGTTTTTGGGCAAGGTCCGAAGAGGGGCCAGTAAAAAAGGCCAAGAAGCTCGGTACTGGTCCCTTACAGTGCGCAGAAATACTCGCATATATGGGCAGAAAAAAAATATGCATTCAGCTGAAAATTCCAAACTTAAACCTAGCAATCGGCACCCTCCCGATAACGTAGCAATATAAAATATAACGAGGAAACTAATAATATAAAACACACCATATACAGGAATGATCGAATATATGGACGTAAACAGATAACCTAAAACATCTAAAAGCATAAAAAAAAACAATAAAAAAGTCATACGTTATTTTTTTTTTTCACTGCATTTCATTGAAAATTGTTATCGCTGCCTACCAACAGTGATCCGCATTCTTTCTGAAATATCGTAAATGCTTGTGTATACTTTATATTGGGTGTGTTATTAACTCAGTTAATTATTTGATCATGTGAACTTTGCTTTTCGGTATTAGTCAAAGGTATCGTGTGTTCTTCTCGCAAGCGGACGTGCCCCTGTGCATAATATCCGACCAGATGTACCAAAAAAAAAAAAAAAACCCACTAGCGACAGTTCTTTTCTTTTAACCGCCTATTTTCTGCAGTGAAGGACATGAGGAGAACTGTAAAGTCTGAATTTGGCTGCAGGCCTCCTTCCTAGAGCTGCTTGAATGGTGTTAACTCAGATGAAATTATTTTTCTACTCTCTACTCGGCCATCGTCTTACTGACACACTGAAATATGCCTCGTACCCAGGCAAGCTCCGATAACGAGGCTAGAACTAAACGCAACAAATACATCACCCATGATCACTCTAACGCAGATTCATTCGGGGATGATTTCTTCTGTCAACGTATCGACAAATAGAACAGCCTATCGACGAACGCTGTAAGTAAGGCGAATGCGTCTGCTTTTGTCGATAATATTTTATGTGTTCGAAAATGCTCGAGCAAAAGAAAACAGTATTTCCGGAAACCCGGCAGCCTACCCACTTAGTAGGGACTTTTAGCAAACCGTTTCCGTGTTCCGCGTACCGCGCAAACGGAGACTTTGAAGCATGCTTGTTTAACGGTTTGCCAAAAGCCCCTATTGGCGAACATTTTACGTAGTGGCCTGAGAATGACGCTGAAGCATCAAAACAATCAAAACAAGGTCGTTAACATTGTGCGCTTGATGCGTCTCCGAGCAGTCTTCTGTTGTTTCTTGGTGTCCAAAGTGACGCCGGTCTTTGCCACGGCGACCCTGCCGAAGGATGTCACATTTATTTAGAAAATCTGTCCGAACTCTGCGTGGCTTTTTACCGCAAGCGCAACCTGGGTACTGAGACATCGCGCAAAGTCGGCCATCGTAGCAGCGTGCGCTCGTGCAACCACTACCATACGATCATACGTGTACGCGTTATTAGGGAGTTTTCGTAGATTGTTTTTGCCGTCCCGCAACGGCTCTCCTCAACCCCCTACGACACCCGTACTCTACAGTCAAGGCTATCGGCGCGCAGGCGCAGTAGCGGCTTCTTCGTTGCGGAGGGCTCAGCGGAGGGGGAAACGCGGTATACGAAACCTGCCTAATAATTCCTCGCGTTTTAGCGCGTTCCTTCAGTGATAAGTGAAACTATACTGAAATACTTTGTGGACATATTTTTATGGTCTATCGAACGTTTTCTCGTCGTGCAAGTTGCAGGCGCGAGCATGAGTGAGATCTATTTTGGGTGTCCGTGTCGCACACGTTCTCGTCCAGAAGTAACGAAATACAATTTCTCGTTACTTCATCAAAATGTAACGATTAATAAGTTATTCGTTTTCCTCGTAAAAAGTAACTCGGTCGCGCGCGAAGGCGCCTGGTTAGCGGTCGCTCCGCACTTGTCGAATAGCTCGTCTACAGCGGAGAGGCAAGTAGGCCGGTATTCATTGCAAAGCACGGCAGTGAAAAAAGGGCTACGGAAAGGGATTACGGGAAGGGGAATTTCTCGCAAAAAGGGAGAACGCAGAACGACAGATAATAGGGAGTTTCCGTAGACGGTTTTCACCGCCCTGCAAAGCTCTCCAGAACCCGCTACAATACCCGGAATCAAGGCCATCGGCGCGCAGGCGCAGTAGCGGCTTCTTCGCTGCGAATGGCTTGCCGGAAGTAAAATCACTAAACCAAGATCCAGTGAAAAAAAAATAAAGTGTTCGAACGCGAACGTTGAACGTCAAACACCGACGTACGTTGTTCCAACGCGCACGAAAAGTGCACCCTTCGTGTGCGTTGGAACGGCGAATGCCGGTGTCTGGCCTTCAATGTTCGCGTTCGAACATTGAGGGGAGACAAAGGCAACCAGAGCTCGTTATATTCCCGCGCCCTTTCATCTCCTCCTCTCCCTTAGCTCCTATCCGAATACTGGATGTGCCGAGAAACACACGCGCGTAGGACGCCTCACGACCGCGGCGACAAGACCCTCAATTCAAATTCGAATCACAGCCTT